CACACACACACACACACATATGGCCATGTGGCAGGTGGCTGTGCTGAGCACAGACTCACCTCCCAGGGCCCAGGCACACTGGCGCCCCCACTCCAGGGCAGCCTCCTGTCATCACCCTGCACTGTGCCCGGCAGGGAAGGACCTGATGGGTGGCTAGAAGCCTGCGAACAGAGCGGGCATGGCCAGAGGGTGAGAGCACCCTGGCCTCCTGTAGGTGCATCTGGGCGGACCTTGGTGGTGGAAGCTGACAGTGATGGAGGTCACAGTGGGGAGGCATGGGTCACATGGGCTGGTGAGAGGAGGCCAGGGTCCGTGGTCAGTGCCGGGAGTCAGGTGGAAGGGAAGGACGGGGTGCGCTGGAGTTGGGGCCCCAGAGAAGGTGGAGCGTGCGTCAGAGCTGGGAACTGGGGCCGGGGACCAGCGGGAGGAAGGCCACCCGAGCGACATGGGCACCGCCCAGGCCTGCACCCAGGGGTGAGGGGGAGAGTCCCCCTGCTGCGCCCACTCATGCCCTCCCGCTGCAGGACAAGGACAAGGCGCTGTCGGAGCAGAGGCGCTACTCGCTCATTGACCCCGCCTCAGCGCCCGAGCTGCTGCGGCTGCAGCACCAGCTTGTGAGCACGGAGGACGCGCTGCGGGACGCGCTGGACCAGGCCCAGCAGGTGGAGAAGCTGATGGAGGCCATGAGGAGCTGCCCCGAGAAGGCGCAGGTGTGGGGTGCGGGTCGCGGCAGCCCGGGGGGAGGGGCGGGGGCGGCCGGGCGGGAGCCCGGCCCTGGGTCTCCTCGGGGTCCCGCCGGGGTCTAGGCCGGCGACAGCGCGCCACCTGGTGGGTGCGCCTGGGACTGCGGCCGGGCGCCCCTGCTCAGCCCCGCCCCTCTTGCAGACCCTCAGCAATTCCGGTTCTGCCAACGGCCTCCATCAGCAGGATAAAGGCCAGAAACCAGAGGTAAGGACGCCTAGCGCCTCTGCACACGCAGGCCTGGGGACAGAATCCCTGGAAGCCACCAGAACACACGACAAGCATGCTTTGTGGGGGAACGGGCATTTAGGGAGGGCACAGGCCCCTGCTGCTAAGTGGGTCCCCCTGCTGCTAACTGGGTCCCCCTGCTGCTAACTGGGTCCCCCTGCTGCTAACTGGGTCCCCCTGCTGCTAACTGGGTCCCCCTGCTGCTAACTGGGTCCCCCTGCTTTGGGAGCCTTATTCTTTCCTTTTTACAAAAAAGTGCTTATTGCAAAGTGATACACGCCTCTGGGGACTTTTTGGAAGAAACCAACAAGTGTATAAGTAATAAAATACAACCAGTAGGCCTTCTGGGGCCGGGGACCAAGGGGACCAAGCTTTTTTTTTTTTTTTGTACTGGGGATTGAACCCAGGGGACTAACCACTTAGCCACTTCCACAGCCCTTTTTTATATTTAGAGACTGGGTCTCACTGAGTTGCTTAGGGCCTTGCTAAATTGCTGAGGCTGGCCTTCAACCCACGCTCCTCCTGCCTCAGCCTCCTGAGCCACTGGGATTACAGGGGTGCCCCACCGCACCCGGCCCAACCTCAACCTTTAAAGTATGTTCCTCCTGAATTTTCCCAAGTGTGTGTGCACAGACGTGTGTGTGCTTACACAGTCCACCTTCTTATTTGAAGATTCCCTGTTTGCTAAGGTGTGTTTGTGATCCCACAGTCAGTGCTCTTGGCACGTGGGGTCCCTCCCAGTCATGCGCAGAGAGGACAGACAAACTGACCTGGGCTAGGGGTATTGCTCCGTGGCAGAGTGTTTGCCTAGCGTGCGCCAGGCCCCAGGTCCATCCCAGTGCCACAAAAAATAAAGATAATAGAGGCCAGGACTGTGGCGCATGCCTGTAATCCCAGTGGCTCAGGAGGCTGAGGCAGGAGGATGGCAAGTTCAAAGCCAGCCTCCGCAACTTAACGAGTTGCTAAGCAACTCAGCGAGACCCTGTCTCTAAATAAAAGATTTTTTTAGGGCTGGGGATGTGGCTGAAGCGGTAGTGTGCTCGCCTGGCATGCATGCGGCCCAGGTTCGATCCTCAGCACCACATACCAACAAAGATGCTATGTCCGCCTAGAACTAAAAACTAAATATTAAAATTCTAAAAAAAAGAAAAACAGAGATTTACTCTGGTTCAGWGGAATTTCTTTAAAAAAAAAAAAAGATTTTTTTAAAGGGATGGAGATGGGCTCAGTGGTTGAGTGCCCTTGGGTTCAATCTGTGGTACCAAAAAAATTTAGAAAAAGATGAAACACTCGGTGTGCACCCTCCCAACTGAGGTTGCCAAGGCACGATCATCTTGTGGTCACCTTGTCCTTTCCGTGGCTCTGTTTAGTGCCCCATTTCCATATTTTGAGCTTGTTGGTGGTGGTTTTGCTGTTCAAAACGGCCCCCTGGAGGAGTGCCAAAGGGCTGGGTGGTGTCCCAAGCCCAAGAGGACCGTGACCAGGCCCCATGTGGGTCGGTGGGCTTCATGCAGCTCGTGCGACAGCTGGGCTCGTGTCCTGAGCGACTGGCGGACGGTCAGTGTTTCAGTGGCGGTGTCCTCAGAGGCGCCAGGAGCCTGTGGTCTGCTCACCGTCCCTCCTCCTGGGGACCTGCCTGAGCCCAACCTCCCTCCGCCACGGGATCGCTGGCGTGCTGGGCGCAGAGGCAGGGTGCTCACTTATTTTGAAAGAACTCGAAACCTGACAGAGCGGGCCRGCATGGACACGGCCTGGGAACCGCCTGCTGCCCCTTCCTCCCGCTCTCCCCCTGGGTGACGTCAGACGATGTAACTTTTCTGAAACTTTGGCYGGACACATGCCTCACAAGTCCTGAGGAAAGGGCCAGGTTTTGTAAAGAAAGTAGCCCCAGGTCCGGTCGCCACGCCACTGTCCACACCCGGCCTTCCTGGTGCTCTGCGCTCCCATGTTGATGTCCCCAGGAGCAGGGGTTGGCTGTGCCCTTTCCTCCCAGCACGGGGTCCCGCTGAGCCGGAAGCCAGATTCCTGCCCTCAGTGTCCTGTCTCCTGGGCCTCCTCGTCTGGACGCTTCCTCCATTTCTCTTTGATCTTTAGGTCATTGATGTCTTACAGAACACCCTCTGCCCTTTTCTGTTTTTTATTTTGCTTGGTCTTGGGTTTGGTGCGGGGATTGAAGCCAGGGTGCTGTGCCACTGAGCCACACCCCAGCACTTTTCATTTCTTATTTTGAGATGGGGCCTCCCCGACTTGCTAAGGGCCTTGCTGATTTGCTGAGGTTGGTCTTAAACTCTCAATCCTCCTGCCTCAGTCTCCTGAGCAGCTAGGATCACAGGCGGGCGCCACTGCACCCCACCCTGGGCAGAGTTGTTTCTAAGAGGTGCTGGGTGGCCACCACGCTCCATGCCCCCAYGGTTAGTGCAGTGTTCGCCCACAGTGTCACAAGAACCTGTGTGGGAGCAGCTCTGTCCCTGGCCACTTTTGTCACCTGGGCAGCTGAAGCAGGGCAGGGAGCGGGCTTGCTCCTTGTCCTTCCAGTTCCGACACTGGAGTCCCCAGACCACAGCTGGTCACTAGGCACAGGAAAACTTTGGAGCAGACTACGGGGTCCTGGCCTGGGGGACGGACAGGAGTCGGCGCCCTGGTCAGGTGCTGAGGCCAGCGCAGAGGCAGGGCTGAGTTGGCTCGTTGCCTTGGCAACCAGGGCCCTGGAGTTGATGTCTACCCCTCCCAGGCAGAAACTGAGCCAGGTTCAGTGGCACACGCCTGTGATCCCAGTGGCTCAGGAGGCTGAGGCAGGAAGATTGCAAGGCCGAGGCCCACCTGCGCAACTTAGGGGACCCTATTGCAAAATTAGAAGAACTGGGCTATGGCTTGGTGACTAAGCATCTTGGGTTCAATCCCCAGGACCAAAAAAAAGAAACTCAGGCTTGGAGTCTCCGGCTTATGTTTCTTGCAGTCCAGCTCCACATAGGCCTTAGGGCTCCTAATAAAACCCAGGCTTCTTCTACCTCAGGGCCTTGGCACATGCTGTTCCCTACCCAGCACACTCTCCTGCCCTGCCCCCTTTTCTTTCTGACCCTCTTGCTACCTGTGTATCCCTCAAAAGTCTTGAAGATTCACTGATCAAACCTTTGCTTCCTCTAGGACAAGCACTGACACTGAGGGACACGGTGGAGCAGCCCAGTGTACGCCAGAGCCCTGCCAGGCTGCAGGGTGGCATCCCCTCCCGGCAGGGTCAGGACTGTCAACGTGGAGACAAGACAGTGTTTGTACCAATGCCAGACTCACCGCCGTGGACAATCCCCCGCCCGAACCCCGCTGGGCCTGGAGGCTCCTCCAGCTGGCCTTCCGTGGAGTGGCACTGCCCGGCRGCGTCTGGAGGTGTTTAGGAGGCCCTCCCCGCAGGGCGAGCTTGCCTAAGGCCCCTCTGGGTGCCCTGGGTGCTTCCTGCCCTTTTCCCGGGGCCAGAGCAGGGCCCAACTTCCCCTTGAGGGCACCGAGGAGGGACACCTGGTCTCCAGGAGCCGGCGCAGGACCCTTTTCTGCCCCCTTCTAGGCCAAGGCTGGACCTGGGGCTTCTTGTCCCTACGCGCAGCGCCGCCTTCACACAGTGGTACCAGTTCCCCCGCCTCTGCCCAGCAGGGTCCAGGTTCAAGGTGTTGGGGCAGGGTCCTTCCTCCCCAAGAATCTCACCAACATGTGCCCCCAGCTGCTGCCCACAGACGCTCAGCAAGGCCACCAGCTGCAGTATTAGGAATGCTTGGGGCCCCTCCACACCCACGGGGACCTCCTGTAAGCCGGGCCTGCCCTGACAGGGTCGGGAACACACGTCCCTGGCGCCCGGCTGTTTGGACCGGGCCTCCCGGATGTGCCCTCTGCTCCCTGGAGCACACCACACTCCACCACGTGGCCTGGCGTTGTCAGCTGGCCACACTCGGCCAGCAGAGGCACATGCCCGCGCTCCGGCATGGCAGGGCCACGCCCGAGGGCACTCGCATCCGCGGTCAGGGCCGTGTGTCCCTCGCAGGCGCCTCAGAGTGTGACGGCTGCCCCTTCAGCCTCCCGAGTCACCTGCTGCCCGGCCGTGCCYGCCCAGCCTGGCGACAGCCCCGGTGGCTGCTGCCCTGTGCCCAGCCCACGCRGAAGACAGCCCCTGCGCCCCCGCAAGCACACGGGTCCCGGCAGGGCCACCCCCGTTCTTGCCCCAATGCAGCCCAGCCCGCAGGGCGATGACCCGGCGTCCCCTCCCGGTGTCCCCTCCTGACGCTCCGCAGCTTCTCCGCGTAGCAGCGACAGCCGCCTTCATGCGATGCTTCTGGCTGATCAGGGCCAACGCACCCGTCCTGCGAAACCAGGCAGCTCGGCCACAGCAGGGACCCAAGGGACCAGGGCCAGGGGCTGCAGGTAGCAGGTGTGAAAGAAGCGACCCCGGAGCCCCGGCCTCCCCGCCCCCCAGCCTCCCCCCCACCCCAGTGGAATTGTGGAAGTGTGGCGCCTCTGTGCTCGGGACAATAAAGCTTGTGACCGAGGTGCAGCACCATGCGCTGTCTGCTTCTCCCCGCGGCTTCCTGGGCGTCCCCAGAGCCTCCCTYGGTGCTGGGCACCGCGGGCCAGGACTCAGGAGGAGTCCTGGCCAAGTCCTCGCAGGAGCCGGGGCTCAGGAGTCCTGGAGGACCTGGGAAGAGGGGAACCTGGGTGGGAGCGGACAGAGGAGCACCATCGGGACAGCCAGGGCCAGGACCCCCAAGGCCTCCAGAGAGAGCCAGACAGACCAAAGACCCCTGCTTCGGGCTGAGTTTGCACTTGAAGCTGCTCGGTGGGTCCGGGGAAGCAGGCCCCCCCCACAGCACCGCAGGCTCCCCCGGCTCCTGGGTGCCCAGAGTGCTCACAGCTCAGTGGGTAGGTGGCCGCTGAGCCAGAGAGCAGCCAGGGCTCCCCTCCTGCAGCTTTGCCCGCTGCTCCTGCTGCAGGGAGGTTGCCTGCACTGCACAYTGAGCAAGGCTCCTGAGGTGAACAGCTGAGCACAGGAACCCAGTCACGTGCTGAGTGAAAAGGGGCCTGGAGGGTCAGAGGAAGGGACAGGGGAGTCACAACAGTCCCTGAGGGGCTGTTTCTTCCCTAAAGGGCAAAGCAAAGGAGCTGGGGGAACAGACACCCACCCCTTCCGCCTTCATTGATAGCACTCCTTTGGCTGACCCCAACCAGAAGCCAAGGCAGGGGACACTGCTAGAGAGGCTGAGGCCAGCCCCGGCACTGCCCAGAACAAAGGGTGAGATCMCATGGAGAACAGTCATCACCTTCTCTCTCAAGAGACAGATCCCAGAGAGCTCCTAACACCACCCTGGCCTTTGAGATTCTGTGCTCAGAATAGGAGTGGCCTCCGCGTCCAGAACTTACCTCACCAGCCCAGCTGGTGTGGCCCTCAGAGTCTGCCAGAGGTCCTCTCCTCCCCCAGACATCAAACACCACTGGGACCCCCGGCTCCTTTTCACCTGACCCACAGCACAGGAGGCTAAGAGGTCACCCTTCCCTGCGTAAGGTGGGTCCCAGCCCATTTAGTTCGACCTTCAGTGGGAACTCCGTGCCGGGGTGTGGGGTCCCAGGAGAGGGCGAGCCCACTCACACCATGGAGGACAGGCGTGTGRCTTCCCAGCTGTGGAGAAGAGGGTGCTGTTGAGGGGAAGAAGGAGSAGGAGCAAGCGGGGAACATGGGACAGGGAGCCTGGGGTGCGAGAGAAAGTGTATGTGGCTGGAGCCCGGGTGGACTCACTGCCCCGGGGCTGGGGTGCACTGGCCTTGAGGCCAGATGGCACGGGGCTCGAGTCTCCTGCCCAGGGCTTGGCACCAGCGGGTGCAGGCAGAAGGAAGGAACCTGAGAGAAGATGGGGGGCCCTGGAGGATGGGTGGTGGTGGGGAGCACGGAGCCCTGGCCAAGCCAAGCAAGCCAAGAGGCTGTGACCTCGGGGCTGGGGCMGTGTCCCAGACAACACCACCCTGTGGAGAGTTCAGGCCCAGGTGTGTCTTGGGGACACTTGAGGGTCCCATTTAGGGGTCAGGTCAGTGGGGGGCTGACTTCCTGGGTGCAGGAGGAGCCCCAGGAGCTCAGACAGCCCTCGCTGGTCACAGGGGTCCCTGTCCTGAGGTCCCGTTTGGGGGTGAGACTCTCCCCAGGGTCCAGTCTGGGTTCAGAGGGCTGCTCTGCATACAGAGGGCATCTCCACACCACCCTGCGGTGACTGTACCACTGAGCTACACCCACTCAGACGTCTTTAGTTTTTATTTTGACACAGGATCTCACCAAGCTAYGGAGGCTGGCCTCCAACTTGCCATCCTCCTGCCTCAGACTCCCAGGTAGCTGGGATATTAGGCATTCACCTCTGCACCCAGAAATTTTTTTAAACTATTATTTYGAGCCTGCTTAAGGTTCACAGAGGACTTGTGATAAGAGTGGCATCCCATCCCCCTTGGCCACTTCTCGCCCAACCACAGGACAAAGATCCAACAAGAAAATGCACGTGGGCACGATGCCCGGTAGCTCACGTGTGGCTTGACTTGATTTCACAAGTTCATGGGTAGAAAGTGTCCTGTCCCAGGATCCCGTGTTCACTTATCCCTCTCGTCTCCTCAGCCCATGACAGTTTCTCAGCCCTCTGTCTTTCCTGCCTTGACACATCCGGTGGCCACTGAAGAGCTCTTTGGACAAATGTCCCTCCCTTTGGGGTGGCCTGGCATTTTCTCCTGATTACCTGAGGTTGTGCCTCATCGGAGGACCCTGCAGAGATGATGGGCCCCTGGGGCAGCGCAGGACTTGTCATGGCTGGTGACGCTCTCGGATGTCCCCCGGCTCAAGGCGATGTGTGCTGGGGCCCTCCACCGTCAGATCACACTTTCTAGGGCCCGGGGTGCGGCTCTGGGGCCGAGCACCTGCCCACATGTGGGAGCCCTGAGCCCAAGCCCCAGTACCGCAAAAAAATCCAAATAAAAGAGAGTACTCTTCGCTACATCATAATTCATACAAATCCTGGAGCTGAAACTTTGAGGTCAGGCAAATATCCAGCCTCTCCTTTAAATTTTCACACTGACTTAAATATCCATAGTGCAACAGTCCAGCAGCAATTAATASGGTACTAATAGTGATTTCTTTATCTGGCTCTATTTCCTGCCCCCATGCTGGGGATGGAACCCAGGGCCTCTCTTATGCTATGCAAGTGCTCTACCACCGAGCCACGCCCCAGCCCTATTTACTTACTGGTACTGCGGATTGAGCCCAGGGGCGCTTAACCCCTTAGCCACATCCCCAGACCATTTTTCAATTTTATTTAGAGACATGGCCTCGCTAAGTTACTGAGGCTGGCTTTGAACTTTCCATCCTCCTGCCTCAGCCTCCCGAGCTGGGATTACAGGTGTGCACCCCAGTCCCTTTTATTTTTTTTTTATTTTGAGACAGGGTCCTACTAAGTCACCCAGGCTGGTCTCAAACTTTCCATCCTCCTGCCTCAGCTTCCTGAGTCTCTGGGTTGTGGGTATGCCCCACCATGCCTCGCTGACACGCATTAACTAGAGCTCTTCTGTAAGGAAGATTTCTCTCTCCTCACCCATTTGTTTATTTATTCAGTTACATATATCAATAAAGACTCATTCAAGTGGACACAGGTCCAGCTACTGCAGATGTGGGAACCCAGGGGTTCAGTGCTGTAGTTCACTGTGCTCCCGAACGTCCATTAAGTACGCCTATGGCTGGGCGCGGGGGCACACGCCTGTGACCCCAGCAACTGGAGAGGCCGAAGCAGGAGGATCGCAAGTTCAAGGCCAACCTCAGGAACTTAGCAAGGTCCTAAGCAACTCAGTGAGACCCTGTCTCAAAAAAATAAAAAAGATGGGCTGGGGATATAGCTCGGTTGAGTGCTTGCCTCACATGCCCAAGGCCCTGGGTTCAATCCCCAGCACCACTAAATAAATAAAAAGGAATGGGAAAGAAAGAAAGAGGGTTGGGGTTGTGCCTGGGTGGTAGAGCCCCTACCTAGCACGTACGAAACCTTGGGTTCTATCCTCGGCACCACATAAGTAAATAAATAAAGAAATGTATTGTGTCCATCTACAACTAAAAGTATTTATCTTATTTTATTTTGGGGGGGTATTGGGGATTGAACTCRGGGGTATTTGACCACTGAGCCACATCCCCAGCCCTGTTTTGTATTTTATTTAGAGACAGGGTCTCGCCTCCCCAGCTGCTGGGATTACAAGCATACACCATGGTACCTGGATCACCTACAATGTAGGTGATATAAAAATATTATAGAGAGAGAGTAATGTAAAAATATTAGAGAGGATCATTTTATATAAGGAACTCGMATCTTTCAGTTTTGGGATCCATGACGGGAGCAGGGAGTCCTGGAACCAGTCCCCTCTAATACAGAGGGACAACTGAGCAGATTTTAAGCACACCGCAGAGTTTGAAGGAAAGTAGAGGAGATCCCCCAACCGGCAGAAGGGAGGGGAATTTGGGGTTTAGAGTGGCAACAACGTGCCCTCAAGGGGTGGGGGGCGGGTGGTATCTGCTAATGTCAGATGTCCGAAGGGTTAGGACTTCATGGCTACCCTGGGGCTCAGAGAATGTGGCCTTGGCCAGGTGGCAAATTGGAACCCAGACTCCTACCAAAGCCAAGCTACAGGACTGCCACCCACTTGGGCACATGGATGGGAAAAGTCCCCAGTACTGTCAATCAATCAATCAATGGAACTAAAAGCAGAGCCCGGGGGTGGCAGCTACATGGACTGAAGCAAGGGGAGCGGGTGTCCCCGTGACACGGCCCCCAGCGATGGCAACAGTGCCCTTGGAGAGCTGGACAGGTCTCAGCCTGAGACACCCGGCAGGTCCAGTCAGCCTCTCACCTGGGGCTTCACCGAATCCCAGAATCTGGCCACGTGGTTGTTCTCCATCTCAGTACAGGGGACAATGAGAGCCACTGCACGGGGCTGCAGGGACGCAGTGACAGCCCCATGGGGCAGGGCGGGGGCTCGGGAACTGGCTGGGGCCGCTCCCTCGAGTCCCAGTCCAGGTCTGGGGGGGAGGGCTTGGGAGGGACGCGCCCTGGCACCCGGGGGCCGGTCCTGCCTGCGATGCGCCCGTCTGACCACCAGGTGTCGCCCTCGACCCTCGCTCCGCGCGGCTCACCCGCTGGTCCCGGGGCCTCCACGATGCCGAGGGCGGGTCGGGCAGGTGGCCTGGAGCACAGCCGGGACCCCGATGGCCGCTCCTGCCCCAGAGCCTCCTGCCCCAGGGGCCTCTCGGCCTCGGCTCGGCGTATGAGAGTATCTGTGTCCACCATCCACCCCTGGGGCAGAGGCCAGCTGGGAAAGGGCTATTTGTTCCCTGTCCAGGGCCACCGCGGCCAGGATCTGACCCCTCCCCACTCCTGCTCAGCCGGTCACCCMGTGCGGT